CTTTTTGTCTTGTAGGGAAGAAGGGAAACAACAATAAACTGCTGAGATGAACTATGTCAAAAAATGTTTCTAAAACCCTGTCCAGCCAGTGCTGGAGGGTAGATTTATGAATAATTGTGCTGGTTTTGGCTGGGATAGAGTTAATTTTCTTCATAGTAGCTAGTATGGGACTACGTTTTGGATTTGTGCTGAAAGCAGTGTTGATAATACAGGGATATTTTTGTTACTTCCAGAGGTGTGTACAGTTACGGATTTACACACGCAGGCCACCCTAACAGCGTCAGACCCTCCGATCCTGCTGAGATTGCAAAGTTCGAGTGAAGGTTTCCAATTAGTCTTTTATTAGTTCTTAGGTTACAGCTCGATCCGTGTGCCTCTGGAGGTGGACCCCTACCCCAATTCACACCTCTCAATCATACCTGTATCACCCATCACCCAATCCCCAAGTCCAACCACTTAATTCCGGTCAGTGGCCTCTTGATTTCTTACTGGTTTTTACTGCCACTGGGCTGGCCTTCTTCTGAAGTTACTTCATTCTCTTGGAATTGCCTCCTTGGCCCTCACCTTCTTCATTCTGATCATGTCTTGTGAATTCAGCGAGTTCTTTGTTAGCAGCATTAGTTTTATCAAAAAGTTTACGCATGGTCAGCTCCTGCGGCCTAAGGCTTCAGCTACTTTAACTCCTAATGCCAAGCCACTAATGCTGAACGAGACTATTCAGAGCGAAGAATACAGTTAATCAAAGTTCTTTTACTACGTTACACAGCACCGAGGCTTTTTCTGCTTCCCACCTCACCAGTGAGTAGGCTGGGGGGCACAAGAAGCTGGGAGGGGACACAGCCGGGGCAGCTGACCCCCACTGACCAAAGGGATACTCCATACCATATGATGTCATGCTCAGTGTATAAAGCTGGGGGAAGGAGAAGGAAGGGGAGATGTGTGGACTTACGGAGTTTGTCTTCCCAAGTAACCATTATGGATGATGGAGCCCTGCTTTCCTGGAGCTGGCTGAACACCTGCCTGCGATGGGAAGTAGTGAACTAATTCCTTGTTTTGCTTTGCTTGCGTGGACGGCTTTTGCTTTACCTGTTAAACTGTCTTATCACAACCCATGAGTTTTTCTCACTTTTACCCTTCCAATTCCCTCCCTTCTCCCACCAGGGCAGAGTAAACGAGAGGCTGTGTGATGCTTAGTTGCTGTCTGGAGTTAAACCATGACAATAATGCTGAGCGTTGGCTGTGTTTACAGGAGAACGAATCTTTGAGGTATTTTGGTATCACTGATATCGCAACCAAATACACTGTCAGCATTTGCCACCCAGGTAGTACTCCATCAATATTGTAGAAATAAATGTAGCAATCACTTCTCTGTGAGAAATGCTTCTAGTTACATTTCTGGTAAAATTCTGTGAGAGAAAACCCGTTACTTTCTTTATTTAGAACTGTCACTGTCTGTCCCCTCCATCCTAAATTTGGCCAAGTTTGAACATACCTATCTTCCCTCCTGAAAGGGGTGTGCAGCTTCTGAGCTTTGTATTCTTCCTAAAGTCCAGAGAACCGC